TAAATTAAAGTTAACTTAATAAAAAGTATATATGTATAGAAGGGCGAGGCACAAAGGTCCAATTTGTCCCATAAAACCATAATAATTATACCACAACAAATAACATCTTTCAAACGAACAATTATCTGACTACGTTCAGTACACTGCCTTCTACTTCATCATTGTAGAAGTGTGCTTTTTTGATGTACTTCAAAAATTTGTTATCTAAACTTTTTTACTCTATAGGCGGGGAACTTGAAACGGGCAGGTGGCAAAAAGGTTTAAAGCCTTATTATCATTTTAAAGGTATTTTACAAATTAATTACATTTTTAACTAATACTAAAAAACTACCAATGAAAAAAAAATACTTTAATTATGGATTTTCAAAGATTACCGTTTATCTCCCCCATTTCAAAGATTACTGTTTTTAAATCAAGGTAATATCTGGTTATACATCTTTTTTCCTCTGGAAAAATATTATATTTTGGAAATAATATTATATTTTGCACGGAGAAAGTAGTTCAAGCGCACGTTTCCGAGGCAATAATGATTATTGCCTCGGAAACATACGCTTAAACTACTTTCTCCGTGCAAAATATAATATTATATATTTCACAAATATTTTGCTATACTCTGTTCAACAAAAACAAAAAACAAGTTAGTGTATATATGATAGTGCAAAATTATGTGCCTTGCGCTAGTTACTGATGTAAGACCATATTTATATCCACTGATGATGACATAAAATCCTATGTCGAAACGTTTGGAAAAAATTAAAGATTAACTTCTAAATCTTTGCCTTTTATTTGATGTATTGCCCTTGAAAAACTTACTCATATATATATATATATATATATATATATATATATATATATATTGTGAGGCGATACATCAAAGAATAAAAAGCAAAGACTTATAAATTAATCTTTAATTCCAAACGTTTCGACATTCAATTTAATGTCATCATCAATGGATCAAAAAACAGTATGAAAAATTAGTATATCTAGGTAATTATAATATATGTGGATTGGTATAGTAGCTATAAAATAAGAGAAAAATTAACAAAACAGCAACACTTAACAACAAACAAAATATAAAAGATAAGAAAGGTAATAGAGACTAGATATTAAATAAATAAAAAAAGGAAAAAGAATATAGGCATAAACATATAAGCACACATATACATATATATACTCATATAAACCTACGCATATATATATATATATATATATATATACTATATATATATATATATATATATATATATATATATATATATATTTAAAAGTAACTAGCAGCCCATTCGTCGAAATAAAAAAGGTATAAAGTATAAAAACTTTTATTTATACGTTTCAACACAAGATGCGTGTCATCATTCAGCAACTACAACAATTTGAAAATTTTATTAACTAATATAAACACCAATATAAATTAATTATAGCATAGAGAAACATTATACACACCACAGGACAAAAACACTCAACAAAAATTTATTTTAAAAATTAAACTTAATAACATATTAGAGAAAAACATTTTTTTAGAAAAAATTATGAATAACTAAAAGATTTGAAAACTAATTTGACTAAAAGTTATGAAATGCATCATTGTGAAGCGAGAGACACGCCCATACCGAGCAACCATACTCGACTGAATTATTTCAATATGCGTATTGATAGGAATGGGAGGGGACGCATCAAGGACATATGCTCGAGGCACGAAACGCATCGAACACAGTGTTTGAGCTGGAATTGATCAGAAGGAAAAAGCAAACCATATAAAAGTTAGAACAAGAAAAAACAATATTGTAAAAAATAATATAAAAGAGATAGCAAATTAATTTTTTGTTTTTTTAATAAAATCAATAACAATCTGGTAACTATCATGTAAAAAGTGGGATGAATTGCGTTTATTAACACAAGAGGAGGAATTTATTGAAATAAAAAAGGATTCAGCAAATTTTCTAAGGTCACTATTTTTTTCGATATAAAGAATAACAGGATGTGAAGTGTTAAAAGTGTGATTGAGATTGAGCATATGATCTGAAAACATCGTTTTGCATTGGTTTGGATTTTTTGAATTATAGATATGTTGATTAACTCTCTTATAAATATACTGGGAACTTTCTCCAATATAACACATGTTGCTATCATTGCAATCCAACCTGTAAACTGAATCGGTGACCCTATCAGACGGGGTTCCAGACTTAAGAACCGAAAAAAGGCAATTATAGGTATTATCAAAACTAAAAACTAATCGGAATCCTTCTGAAGAAAATAACTTTTTTAAAAAATACGAAAAATTGCTTAAAAAAGGTAAACAGATAGTTCCTTTGTATTGGGCGGAAGAGGATGCTATTAAATTTGAACAAGAAGGTGAAAATGAATTATTAGAATTCGTTTGTAAATAATTTAATCTATTATTAATGATGTTGTTGACCAAGTGCGAAGGGTAACTATTGTCTTTGAGAACGGAACGAATAAGGGTCAAATTTTTTTCCCAAAACATACTGTTACTTAGTAAAATAGCCCTGTCTATAAGAGAGATAATGACAGAAATTTTAATGGAACGCGAATGAAAAGACAAATAATTTAAATATCTTGGTTTCTGATACCAATCAGTCAGGACAGAATTGTTAGTTACCAGAGCTGATAAGATTTTATTTTATTCGCAGATTTTTGGTTTACCCATGGGGTCTAGTATTAGCCCCCCTGTGGCTGATTTAACACTACAAATTTTAGAAAATTTTGTTCTATCTAATCTTTCTGTTCCACCTCACCTTTATTATAGATATGTTGATGACGTTCTGTTGTGCCTTGACGATTCTCAGATTGTAGACACATTAGACTCTTTTAATTCTTTCAACAAACATTTGCAGTTCACCTGTGAGATTGAGTCGGATGACTCTATTAGTTTTTTAGACCTAAGAATTACTAAAAATAAAGTAAACAATTCTGTCCTGACTGATTGGTATCAGAAACCAACGTGGTCAGGAAGATATTTAAATTATTTGTCTTTTCATTCGCGTTCCATTAAAATTTCTGTCATTATCTCTCTTATAGACAGGGCTATTTTACTAAGTAACAGTATGTTTTGGGAAAAAAATTTGACCCTCATTCGTTCCGTTCTCAAAGACAATAGTTACCCTTCGCACTTGGTCAACAACATCATTAATAATAGATTAAATTATTTACAAACGAATTCTAATAATTCATTTTCACCTTCTTGTTCAAATTTAATAGCTTCCTCTTCCGCCCAATACAAAGGAACTATCTGTTTACCTTTTTTAAGCAATTTTTTGTATTTTTTAAAAAAGTTATTTTCTTCAGAAGGATTCCGATTAGTTTTTAGTTTTGATAATACCTTTAATTGCCTTTTTTCGGTTCTTAAGTCTGGAACCCCGTCTGATAGGGTCACCGATTCTGTTTACAGGTTGGATTGCAATGATAGCAACATGTGTTATATTGGAGAAAGTTCCCAGTTTATTTATAAGAGAGTTAATCAACATATCTATAATTAGAAAAATCCAAACCAATTCAAAACGATGTTTTCAGATCATATGCTCAATCTCAATCACTCTTTTAACACTTCACATCCTGTTATTCTTTATATCGAAAAAAATAGCGACCTTAGAAAATTTGCTGAATTCTTTTTTATTTCATTAAATTCCTCCTCTTGTGTTAATAAACGCAATTCATCCCACCTTTTACATGATAGTTATCAGATTGTTATTGATTTTATTAAAAAAACAAAAAATTAATTTGCTATCTCTTTTATATTATTTTTTACAATATTGTTTTTTCTTGTTCTAACTTTTATATGGTTTGCTTTTTCCTTCTGATTAATTCCAGCTCAAACACTGTGTTCGATGCGTTTCGTGCCTCGAGCATATGTCCTTGATGCGTCCCCTCCCATTCCTATCAATACGCCTATTGAAATAATTCAGTCGAGTATGGTTGCTCGGTATGGGCGTGTCTCTCGCTTCACAATGATGCATTTCATAACTTTTAGTCAAATTAGTTTTCAAATCTTTTAGTTATTCATAATTTTTTCTAAAAAAATGTTTTTCTCTAATATGTTATTAAGTTTAATTTTTAAAATAAATTTTTGTTGAGTGTTTTTGTCCTGTGGTGTGTATAATGTTTCTCTATGCTATAATTAATTTATATTGGTGTTTATATTAGTTAATAAAATTTTCAAATTGTTGTAGTTGCTGAATGATGACACGCATCTTGTGTCGAAACGTATAAATAAAAGTTTTTATACTTTATACCTTTTTTATTTCGACGAATGGGCTGCTAGTTACTTTTAAATATATATATATATATATATATATATATATAGTATATATATATATATATATATATATATATATATATACGCCTATACATATATACATATATGCAACGTGCATGCATATTCACAACGACGTACATATATATGTATAAAACATACATATACTCACACCTATCTATGTAAAAAAAAAAAAGAAAACAAAATTTTCTCACGTCAGAAATTAGTTATTTTGTCGTACAAAATTTATAATTATTTCCATCAGTTTTAATAAGTTACTAATAAGTCAGTGAGCTGAGTGATCCTCGCCTCTGGGTGCAGGTAGAATTTTTGTTAAAATGATCCCCATCAGAGGGGACATAGTGTCAAACAATGCTGGTGATGCAATCAATGAATCACACAATAATTTGAACACAACGCTATGTCCAGGTATATCAGATATAGCCCAAAACCCGCTGACCAGCTCATGCGACGGTATGACTAGTAAAGTAGAACCAGTGGCTGAACTGTCGCATATAATTCCGGAAAATGTCATTTTACAACGGAATGAGTCATTGAAGTGCCTTGAGAATCTGATAAATGAACTGCATATGATTGTCAAATCAAAGTCAAACATACTAAAGAGGTGAAAATAAAAACAGGCAACATAGCGGCCGTAATTAAAAGATTTATTGATTTAGACAACCAATTGTTAGAGGAAAAAGGCCGAACCACGGATGATACGGAAGTTATGATAAATGAAGTGCAATGTTGTGAGACAGCCCCTATAGAAAAAAGTGTACGGCAGGACACAAGCAAAGCCACAAGAAACCGAAACTCACAACATATAAGCAATAATCAGGTGAATGAGAAAAATGGTTTGCCAAGACGTCAGACGATCATAGAAATATGTAATGAAGAAGAAATCGAGGTAAATGACTGGCATAAAGTTCAGCCGAGAAAACAGAAAAAAAAGGAAGCAAGGGTACATCTGTCAGTACAGGACTCTAACCATAAAATGATAAAAAATCATAGAATTTTTCCAAAACCAAATGCCTTATTAATCCGGCCGACCGAAAAAGTTAATTATTCCGAAATATTACGTCGCATCAAACATGATGTCCCTGATGACAAGGTAAATACGACAGTAGACAAAATAAACAAAACCAGAAATGGAGACTTGTTGATAACTATTTCTAAGAAAAGTGAGGAGAAAGGCCAAGGACTGCAACAGATTATCGCAGGTGTGTTAAAGGATGAGGCCGAAGTTATTTATAAGGGGCACCAAGAAACTATAGAAATAAGGGATATTGATGTTGAAATCTCAAAAATTGATATCCAGATAGCACTACAAAAAGCAACCGGGGGAGCCTGCAACACACCAGCAGAAGAAATTAGGCTTCGTAAGGCATATAGAGGTACCCAGATTGCTACTGTAGCTCTTCCAGCGGCAGTTGTACACGATCTGCTCAAAGCAAGTAGCAAAATACGAATTGGATGGGTCAACTGTCAAATTAAAATCATCAAGAAACCAATTCGATGTTTTAAATGCTGGCTATTCGGACATTATGGATCACAGTGCAAGAGCGAAGTGAATCGGACCAATCTATGCTTTAGATGTGGACAAGAAGGTCACAAAATAGCCAACTGTATAAATGCAGCAAAATGTGCACTATGCGCTGAAAATGGAAACTCTGAATATGTAGCACATCATGCCGGCACTCACAGATGTCCTCTATATAGGAAGGCCATAGAGAAAATAATGAACGCAAAAGCATGAAGATAATACAGCTTAACATGAATCATTGTGAGGCTGCACACGACTTGCTTATGCAGACGGTAAGAGATATGAAAATTGATGTTGCCCTTTTATCAGAACCTTACAAACATCTAACTGATTGGCCATGGGAAACGGACAGTACCACCAAAGCCGTTATTTGGTCCTGTGGCAAATTTTGTTTCCAAAATGTTGTTAACAATAGCAACGCTGGATTTGTCGCAGCATTATTAGATGGCATACATTTATACAGCTGTTACGCTCCACCTAGTCTTTCTTTGCCAGATTTTGTCGATTTTTTAGATCGTCTTGTGGAGGATGCAAAACGACACCACCCCGTAGCGATAGCCGGTGACTTTAACGCATGGGCGGTAGACTGGGGAAGTAGGAAGACTAATGCAAGAGGTAAAGCACTTTTGGAGGCCTTCAATACACTTGACGTGGTTTTACTTAATAGTGGTGATAAACCAACCTTTGAAAAGGGCAGTGCAAGCTCAATAATAGACCTTACTTTTGATAGCAATAGCCTCGTCAGAGGAATTTGCAATTGGGAGGTATTAGATATCTACACTGCTAGTGACCACAATGCAATCATCTGGGAAATATCAACAAATATAAACATTAGTAGAAATGCGAAAATATCTAAAGCCATTGGGTGGAAAATAAAGTCTTTTGATGAAAGCGCTATGAGAGTTGCCTTAAATTGCAAACCTATAATTTCAGAACACGCAGATGAGCATACTAGAGAGCTGATGGAGAGAATAACCGAAGCCTGTGATATCAGTATGACTCGTAAACATGGCATAAATCAAAGACAATCTGCGCACTGGTGGACTGAAGAAATCAGCTCTCTTCGTAAAGAGTGCCTAAAGAAAAGAAGGATCTCTCAGCGTGGATATAGTCTCAGTAATTCTGCACAACTGGTAGTGGAATATAAACAAGCACGTAGACAACTAAATAAAGCTATCAAAGATAGTAAAGTTAGGTGCTGGAAAGAACTTTTGGATGAAGTCGAGGAAAATCCATGGGGAAGACCTTATAAGACTGTAATGTCTCGCCTCAAAAGCCAGCCAATACCTTCACCAACTTGCCCACGACTATTGAATAAAATAGTAACTACTTTGTTTCCACGACAACCTAATTTGAACTACCAGGTAACACATGTAGAACAGAATAATATTCCACTTATAACACTGCAAGAACTGATGGAAGCTTTTCATCGCGTTGGTAATAGCAAGGCACCGGGATTAGATGGAATTCCTAATATTGCCTTGAAAACATCAATTATGACATCTCCGACAATGTTTCTTAATGCATATAATACATGCCTGAAAGAAGGGGTTTTTCCACGAAAATGGAAACAGCAAAGACTAGTGCTTATTCCCAAAGGAAAAAACCCACCAGATGAACCATCATCCTACCGTCCAATATGCATGCTGGATACAGCGGGTAAAATTTTTGAAAGAATAATTCACCAAGGAATAGATGCAGTAGTTGATCCAATCCTAGCAGACAATCAGTATGGTTTTTGCAAAGGGCGATCAACTATCGATGCTATAAACTTGGTAGTTAATACCGCCAAGGAGGCAATTGCTGGAACCAGATGGAAGGGGGGTTCAAAAAAGTACTGCCTTGTAGCTACATTGGATATAAAAAATGCTTTCAATTCTGCAAACTGGGATTGCATTATGAATGCACTCCGTGACAAGAACGTGCCAGCATACCTATGCAATATAGTCGCAAGCTACTTTACAGACAGAATTCTAATGTACAATTCACGCGATGGTACAGAAGAATATAATATAACAGGAGGTGTGCCGCAGGGCTCTGTTCTAGGCCCTTTGCTGTGGAATATTATGTATGATGGCCTTTTGAGACTAGAGTTTCCAGAATGTGTGAAACTAGTAGCATATGCAGACGATGTTGACATAGTGGTTGTCTCCAAACAAATTGATGACATCGTAAGCCTATTCGATATTACATTCAGAAAAATTAATCGGTGGATGGGAACAATGAATCTCCAATTAGCACAACAAAGAAGTGAAGCTGTTCTTATCACTAGTAGGAAAAGAATTGAGACCATCAAGCTAAAGATAGGAAATTTTGAGATCACGTCAAAACCTCACATCTGTTACCTTGGCGTAATGCTTGATGCTCGTTTGAATTTCAATCAACAGGTGGAACACGTTAGTGCTAAGGCGTCAATAGTTACGACGAAACTTGCTCGACTGATGCCTAATATTGGAGGTCCTAAACAAACCAGAAGGATATTACTATCGTCAGTTTATTACTTCGGTGCTGACATATGGTATCTCCATATGGGGTGATGCTCTTAAATCTCAAAAATCGAGGAGAATGGCAGGGCCCTTATACCGTCTCAGTGCTATAAGAATTGCTTGCGCATTTCGCACAATATCGGCGGAAGCAGTGTGCGTCATTTCAGGAACTGTGCCTCTCTTAGTCTTAGCAGAGGAAAGACGGACAATTTACCATAGAAGACATCAACAGCTGTGTCCTGAAAAGTTAAGATTAGAAGAACGGCAGAACAGCATTGACCGATGGCAGCAACTGTGGGATGTCGCTGTAAAGGGCAGATGGACGCATCGTCTCATTCCTAACATCAAAGTCTGGCTAAGTCGCAAGCACGGCGAAGTAAACTATTATACTACGCAAATGCTATCGGGGCATGGCTGTTTTCGAGCCTACCTACACCGATTCAAGCACGATAGCTCGCCGGATTGCCCATATTGTTTGGGCGAAATCGAAGATGCTGAGCACGTGTTCTTCGTGTGCCCGCGATTTGGTGCTCTACGGGATGATGTGGAGGAGACATTGAGACGCACAATTACCCCAGGTAATGTTGTTGAAGTGATGCTGACAAGTGAAGCTGCTTGGAACGCTATAGACAGATTTGCGAGAGACGTTTTAATGGACCTGCGTTCTATAGAGAGAGAAAGGGCGAATGGGACTTCGCCCATTTAAAGATAAGTATAATGTTTATGAATCATAACATTGTTTATAACAAGTTAAGAATTGTAACATTCTAGATCCTCCCCCCACGAAGTAATGCCTAACGGCGGTTTCCGTGGGGACCAGAGGCAGGGGCAAAGCTGAGGTTTTAGTCGGTATTATACCAGGGCGGTATCGAGTCCGACATACCCAGACAGAAGACCGGTCTGGGATGCATAAAAGCATTTCCTTCGCTATACAAAAAAAAAAAAAAAAAAACCTATCTATGTAACTATAGCTACACACGTATACATATACATATACGTATTACACATATACATATTAGAAACATTAATTAAACGATTATTTATATAACCTCAATGTTTTGCTTGAAAGTAATACACATATATATGATTATTCAATATAATAATAATGCACGTATACTTATCAATACTCTATTTAATCGTCAGGATATTAATAGTTATATTTACAGTAGGTCTTACTCCTTCGACGGTTCTATTAGAAAAAGGCTTAATTCTAGGCATTTACAACTAAGTGACACAATTCTCGCGCTCAAAAGTGCGTGAATTCGACGACCCATAGAGTTGTTCTTCGTTACGCAATGGCAACGCGCGAACATTCAAAATGCGGCTAACACTCGGCCATCCTAAACCTTACTCGTCCTCGAGGAAGTAATCTCTGACGTTGTGGGCGACTCCTGGGAATCTTTCTGTCTCAGATGGTCTCCTTCCAGTCCTACTTGATCTTCTCCCAGTCCTGTCCGGCTTCTCCAGTCCTGTCCATCTTCTTCCAGTCCTGCCCTGATATCCTTCAGTCCGTCCGATCTTCTCCCCGTCCCTGTTGCCCTCTTCTCCCAGTCCAGAGTGGTCTTCTGGCATCTTCTGCTCCATCCGGATCCTTCTCCAGTGCGCTGGGATGCTTCTCCAGTTTGTCGAGGTCCTCTTCCATCTGGGTTGCTCCTCGTTTGATGTGTGTTGTCTGCATTCCATTGGAGATTTTTCCCACATAGGCCTCACTGCATAATTTGGATATTCTCGGGCCTCGGCGCAATCTTCTCCTGGTCTATTATCAGCCTGTCCCGTCCAGAACCATACTCCTGCGGTCCAGTGCCTTCCTCTCCTGGTCCAGTATTGTCCGCTTCAGGTCAAATGCCTTCTTCTCCAGCTCTAGCGCCTTTCTCTCCTGGTCCAGTGCCTTCCTGTCCTGGTCCAGTGCCTCCAGCATAGTTCTGACCTCATCCGGTGTAGCCTGTTCCCGACCGGTATAGCCTTGTCCTCGTTCGGTACAGCTTCATCCCGGTCCAGTGCTGCCTCGTCCTGGTCCAATGCTGCTTTGTCCTCATTTGACCTAAAACTATTCAAACAAGGAATTGGTTCAATTGTGTCTACTCTGGGTTGGCTCCCCATGTCTAAGTCAGTCACAACTATAGGTTCTGTCTTTGTCTCTGTCTGTCGCTGTACTGTCCAAACTTGCTCTGTGTGTATCGTCAAGTCTGCGTATATATATAGGCGTAGTATATATAGATATATATATATATATATATATATATATATATATATATACGCCTATATATATATATATATATATATATATATATATACGCCTATACATATATACACAGATACATATATGTAACGTGCATGCATATTCACAACGACGTACATGTATATGTATGAAACATACATATACTCACACCTATCTATGTAACTATAGCTATACACGTATACATATACATATACTATACACATATACATATACATATAAACACATATATATACACATACATATATATACATATACATACACAATACATACATATATACATGTACATAAATGCTCAATATATATACATATTATATATATATATATACACGTATACAACTACATGTATACACATATACATATGTACATACATACAAACATACATGTAAATAAATAATATACATATATAACATACATATATGTATATATACATAAACATATATATATATATATATATATATATATTATATATATATATATATGTAAACTCG